AATTCAACGCACGATCGTGAAGAAAATCATCTCTCTGTTCTTCTCCAAGTGAATTTTCAATTTCAAGCTCCGAAAATTTGAGAAAAATAAAAATTCTTGTAATAAAAATCGTTTCTTGGTAATTATTGGACTTAGGGTTCATGATCCTACCGACATTCCCGGATTTTTTATCCTTTTTTCTGATTGGATTTGAGCACTCATGAATCCTTGGTGATTCCCAGAAAAAACTCAGAAAAAAAGTTCCAAGTTTGACGAAAGACACGATGGTTCACAACGCTTATGATTCGTTTCAGCTTCTCAAGGATTGTCCTGCTCGGATCGATGCTGTTGAATCTTACGGCTCTAAGCTCTTTGCCGGATGCTATGACGGTTCTCTCCGCATATACTCACCGGAATCTTCTTCATCTTCCTCGGAGTTGCATCAAGAGTCTTACGTGCTAGAGACGACCGTGGCTGGATTCTCTAAGAAACCTATCGTGGCTATGGAGGTTTTGGGTTCGAGAGAGTTGCTTTTGTCTCTCTCGGAATCAATCGCGTTTCATGGGCTTCCTAATTTGGAGACTGTAGCTGTGATTACTAAAGCTAAAGGCGCAAATGCTTACTCTTGGGATGATCGTCGTGGGTTCTTGTGTTTCTCTAGGCAAAAGAGAGTCTGTGTGTTCAAGCACGAAGGTACCATAAAAAAAAAGACTCAATTTTGTACACATTGGAATTGAAATTTGGATTCTTGGTTGATTGCGATTTTGTGGATTGTTCAGGAGGAGGAGGGTTTGTAGAAGTGAGAGATTATGGAGTTCCTGATACCGTCAAGTCGATTTCTTGGTGTGGAGAAAACATTTGTTTAGGGATTAGAAAAGAGTATGTGATACTTAACACTGCTAATGGGACACTCTCTGAGGTGTTTCCTTCTGGTAGGGTTGCTCCTCCTTTGGTGATATCTTTACCTTCTGGTGAACTTCTTTTGGGGAAGGTAAATATTGTTTTCCTGTTTTTAGTCATTCAATGTGTTTGCTCGGTTTTTCTGAAGGATTAATGTGTTTCTTTGGGAACATTGTGGTAGCATCTCTTATTTGTTGTGTGTGATATTTTTCTTTGTATCTGACATCTTCTTGGCATGGCCCAACTTTGTCACTTTTATCTGTTCGTCGAGTTCAGGATGTGTTTCGGAGTGTCGATTTTATTAGTGTCTTATTGTACTTGTAGGAGAACATTGGAGTTTTTGTTGATCAAAATGGAAAGTTACTTCAGACAGAGAGAATTTGTTGGTCAGAGGCCCCAACGGCTATTGTCATTCAAAATCCATATGCAATAGCCTTGTTGCCTCGACGAGTTGAGGTATATAAAGTTCTCCATAACGAGATGTCAGTTTGTTTCTCTTCACATTTATAGAAACCTGTTACGTGCTTATGCCTTTTTTGGTTTTATTTTGATAGGTTCGCTTGCTCCGAAGCCCATATCCTTTAATACAGACGGTTGTTCTCCAAAATATTCGTCACCTTGTCAAGAGCAACAATGCTGTGATTGTTGGTTTGGATAACTCTGTTCATGTTCTCTTCCCTGTTTCTATCGGTGCCCAGGTATCTACTTTAGCTCTGGGAATATTTGATGCTGCTCATGGTTTGTCATGAATGAATATGATAATGTGTTACCTTGTACCTTATATTTCGGTTGAATACGATACTATTTAGATTTGCTCTTTTTTCCTTTGGTATGTTTAGGTATCCTTTAGAGGGCAATTTAGAATGACTCTGCGTTAACTTGTAAAATAGATGCTTTTGAAATATCTTGAGAAAGTTTATTTTTTATTGCAGATTGTGCAGTTAACAGCTTCTGGAAACTTTGAGGAAGCCTTAGCTCTATGCAAATTACTTCCCTCTGAAGAGTCAAGCCTACGAGCTGCGAAAGAGAGTTCGATTCATACTAGGTGCGTAAAGCTAGAGGCCTTTCTCTTCCTTCTACAGTAATCCATTAGTGGTAATGTGCAGTTCCATGGGAATCTTTATGTTCATATTCGTTGTCTCTTTATCATGATACAGATATGCTCATTATCTTTTTGAGAATGGGAGCTATGAAGAAGCCATGGAACACTTCCTGGCATCTCAAGTAGATATCACGCATGTGCTTTCCATGTATCCATCCATTATTCTTCCTAAAACTACAATTATCCCTCCACCAGAGAAGATGGTGGACATTTCTGGGGATGAAGCATCTCTGTCGAGAGGTTCATCCGGCATTTCAGATGATATGGAGTCTTCATCTCCTCGATATTATTTGGAATCCGAGGACAATGCAGCCCTTGAAACTAAGAAAATGAGTCACAACACTCTGATGGCTCTTATAAAGTACTTGCAGAAGAGGAGGCCAGGTATTATCGAGAAGGCTACTTCTGAAGGAACAGAAGAGGTCATTTCGGATGCTGTTGGCAAAACTTATGGAGCATATGACTCTTCCAAGTCTAAGAAATCCAACAAGGTGCAGATGATTTATCCTTTGTACTAGCCGATTGATGACTACTTTTTGAATATTAACTTTTTTTGTTGAGGGTTTAACAACTTTTTCCTGCAGGGACGTGGTACGATCTCGCTTAATTCAGGTGCCAGGGAGATGGCAGCAATCCTTGATACTGTTCTTCTTCAAGCACTTCTACATACTGGACAGTCTGGAGCTGCTATAGAATTATTAAAGGGTGTCAACTACTGTGACGTAAAGATTTGTGAGGAGATTCTCATGAAAAGTAAAAATTATTCTGCACTATTGGAATTGTTCAAGAGCAATTCAATGCACCATGAAGCCCTTAAGCTTTTAAATCAGCTAGCGGAACAGTCCAAATCAAACCAGTCACAAACTGATGCTACACAGATATTTAGTCCTGAGTTGATCATTGAATATCTCAAGGTAGGTTTCTCAGTGCTAAATTTTCTTTTCTGCAACCACTAAACATGATTGGAAGGCCCGATTATACCACTTGCGCTCAGCAGGTCTCCATTTGTGTCAACCCTTCATGTTCACGCACAAAAAATTGTTAACAACCGCAGCTTGGTAATGGAAGATTTTCTTGCTCAATTCGGTAGCCATTGTCAAGTCGCTAGTTTCACTGGACCGTCCGAGTTAGGGGAGTGTGTAAAAGAGGTTGATCTCGTCTTGATCACACCATGGGTTGAGGAAGGTTATCGGGGAGATGCTTTTTTTGAGACTAATGCTAGAGAGAGAGAGACAATTAACGCATTCGGGTTATTATCGGCAACAGCTTCGACAAGCGTCTTCATCCTTCTAGCATTAGTCTCGAAAAAAGCATCTCCCCGATAAGCTTCCTCAACCCATAGTGTGATCAAGACGAGATCAACCTCTTTTACACACTCCCCTAACTCGGACGGTCCAGTGAAACCAGCGACTTGACAATGGCTACTGAATTGAGCAAGAAAGTCTGCCATTACCAAGCTGCGGTTGTCAACAATTTTTTCTGCGTAAACATGAAGGGTTGACACAAATGGAGACCCGCTGACCGCAAGTGATATAATCGGGCCTCCCAAGTGATTCTTTAATGGTTGCAGAAAAATACAAAATTTGCTAATTACGTTTGATCTTGGTACTGACTGAAGATAACTTGGTCTACGTTTTCATGTTAAAATCGAGTATTCTAAGAAACAGCTGTGAGATGCTAACTGTCTGTTGGTGGATTTCTCTTTCTAGCCTCTCTGCAGGATTGATCATATGCTTGTCTTGGAGTACTCAATGCCTGTCCTGGAAAGCTGTCCAACACAAACCATCGAGTTGTTTTTGTCTGAAGATATCTCAGCCGACCTTGTCAATTCGTATCTGAAGAAGCATGCTCCAAATATGCAGGGTAGATATCTAGAACTTATGATGGCAATGAATGAAACCGCAGTTTCTGGAAATCTCCAAAACGAGATGGTGAGGAAATAGCACTTACGGGAAGTACTTTCATTGAGTTTACGTTATATAAATGGTATATATTGGCAGTAACAATTTGGATGATGGTACAGGTACAAATCTACCTCTCAGAAGTGCTTGACTTGCATGCTGCGAAAAGTGCACAGCAGGAATGGGATGAGAAGGATCATCCTCCTGAAAGGAAAAAACTATTGTCTGCGTTAGAGAACATCTCTGGATATAGTCCACAGACTTTGCTGAAGCGTCTTCCACGTGATTCTCTCTATGAAGAGCGTGCAGTTTTATTGGGGAAAATGAATCAACATGAACTTGCTTTGTCGATCTACGTTCATAAGGTACTGATCATTGATCTTCTCGTGTATCAAAATCCAAAATAGTATTCATATCCTTCACCAAATAATCTTCTATATATTGGCATCACTTTGCTCGGCAAATGCATTGTGTAGATAATTGTATCGTTTTATACATAAGTTTATTGTAAAACTATGTAGAATTCAAATATCTGTGGATTCAATGGAGTGTTGCTTATGGCTTAACTCGTGTTTTTTTTCTGATAGCTTCATGCACCTGATCTGGCACTGGCTTACTGTGATCGTATATATGAGTCTGTTTCTTATCTACCATCTGGAAAACCGTCAAGCAATATCTACCTCACACTACTGCAAATATATCTGAATCCTCAGAAAAGTGCGAAGGACTTTGCAAAACGGATTGTAGCTCTAGGATCATTCGAAAGTTCAGACACTAAGAAGATGATGGAGTCTGTTTTGTCTCAAAAAATTAAAGGAGGTCGATCCAAGAAAATTGTTGCGATAGAAGAAGGTGCTGAGGATATGCGAGCTGGTCTCAGTAGCAGCACTGACAGTGGAAGAAGCGACGCTGATACTGAAGAACCCATGGAAGAAGGGAACTCCACCGTTATGATTTCTGAAGTTCTTGATCTGTTGAGCCAAAGGTGGGAGAGGATCAACGGTGCACAAGCCCTCAAGCTTTTACCTAGAGAAACTAAACTTCAGGTAAATACTTTGAATCTGACTTGTCTAAGTTACTAAATCTAAATTACGATCGCCACTTCTTATCTTTCCCAAAATATCTACTGCTTACTAGCATCTTATTGAAGTTGACCCATTCTTTATCCAATTCCTGCAGAACCTGCTTCCATTTCTTGCACCACTTCTAAGAAATTCAAGTGAAGCACACAGGAACTATTCAGTCATCAAGAGTTTGAGGCAGAGTGAAAGCTTACAGGTATGTTTGAGTTTCTTGAAGCCAAAGTAATCAGAGAAAGTTCAATATGATGGTAAATCATAAGCCCTTACGCTTTGATGTTAATCGTAACAAAGGAGTTTATTATGTGAAACAAATAGGTGAAAGAGGAACTGTACAAACATAGGAAAGGAGTGGCACAAGTAACAAGCGAGAGCATGTGTTCGTTGTGCAACAAGAAGATTGGGACAAGCGTCTTTGCTGTTTATCCCAACGGGAAAACGTTAGTTCACTTTGTCTGCTTCAGAGATTCTCAAGGCATGAAAGCTGTTTCCAAGACATCACATGGAAGAAGACGATGAGATGCATCATTTATGTAACTAAGACAGGTTAAAGCCACTAAACCTATCTTTCTTTTGACAACTCCTAAGTGCAACTAAAGAAGAACCTCATT